ATTTAAATTGAGTATTTTAATTTTAATTGCTTTGTAATTTGTTATTTTCGCTAAGTCTTATTTATGTTAACAATGTGATCCTCTCTACCTGTGTAAAATTAGAGTTCATTTATTTTATTGAGGTATTTCAATTTTAATTATATTATGTGTTATGGCATGCAAGGTGGATGGTGTCACACATTCTCCTCCATTTCTTCCTTCCTTTCTAGCACCTTGCTCATATACACCAACTGCCCTAAAGCTTTGACCATGTTTACTCTCAGCTCAAGTCCAAGAAATGGACCACTCATGACTTTCAAATCTTTATTATGGAAATAAGAAGAAATCCACAATGTATTACACTGAATTCTACTATAATTTTGTGTTGCCTCTTTTTTAGTTTTAGTTTTAGTTTTGTACTTGTTTTAAATATTTTTTTTCCTTCTATCTCTTTCCAATATCAATTTTCTTTTTCTGGTGCAACCTTGTTTACACCGATTATGCATAATTGAATGTTCTAAACTTCTAATGGAAAGATAGATTATCTAAAAATAAATAAAGCATCATGTGTAGATAATGAGATTAGGAGGTGCAAAGGTGAGATTTGGGTCCCTTATTCAGTAAAGATTTTATTCATTGAGTAATAAAAATGTCTTATTCTAGAGTAGCATGTATGCCAAATTTTTATGTTTAAGCTTGTGTTTTATTTTTTCTAGAGCAAGGCACTAAAGAGGGGGGAAGAGGAAGAGGAGGATGAGGCGATGATGGAGTTTAAAGAAGACTGCGTGAAGGAAGAAGAAGTTAGGAGATGTGAGAGTAGTATTTTTCAACTTTTAAAAAATCTTATTGAAAGAAGGAGAATTTAGGAGTATAAGTATTTTTCCATGCTCATGGCGCTCAAGTCGGGCCCTTTGTCGACAACCTTTGTCGGTGACCTCCCCCGGACATGGACGAGCTCCGCGCCCGAGCCGCCAGATACATCCAGATGGAGGAGCACAGGACATTCCGTGACCAAGTCCGTGGAAAGCCACAAGGGAAGCAAGACCACGGTCACAAAGACAAGATGAGAGTCTCCAATGACAATCAATTCAAAAAGCCTCGGAAGACTAAAGGCGAGAGGTATGACTTCTACACCCCCCTGAACGCGCCCCGAGTTCATATACTAGAGGAAGCCAGTAACACCGACCTGATTACCCTGCCACCATCGAGGCACAACCCCAACAATGCTAACAAATCCAAGCATTGCCAATACCATAGAAATTACGATCACACAATCGAGGAAAGCCAAACACTCAGGGATCGCATTGAGGAACTCGCGTCCAAGGAGGACACCGTGGACAGTACGTCCAACGGTCACAATCTCATAGGGGAGGCTACCATGGACATGGTCGCAGACGAGGATGAGGTTGGGGCTCCAATGCCTGGACAGACGAACCCTCCAGTTCCCAGCAAAACATTGGTGGGCGGTGCATGCCGTGGTAAGTCATGACACAGGTAAGACTCCCTTACGCGGAGTCATCAATACGATTGCAGGCAGCTTCGCAGGGGGTGGTTCAAGTAGTTCAGCACGCAAAAGATACTTGCGCAGTATCAACAATGTCCATGTTGACACCTCAACCCTACCGCGCAACACACCACCAATTACCTTCACGGATGACGACTATGTCGGCATCTGTCCAAACCAAGATGACCCCATGGTCATCACTATTGAAGTAGCTAACTGGGAAGTCCACAAGATGTTGATTGACCAAGAAAGCTCAGCTGACGTCCTATATTAACTAACGTTCTTAAGGTTAGAAATCTCTCACTCTCTCATCCAATCTCACACAGAACCCCTAGTCGGTTTTGCAGGTGAACGTGTCCACACTCAGGGATACATAGAGCTGCTAACAACCTTTGGGATCCCCCAACTCAAAAAGAATCATGGTCACATACCTCCTCGTCGATGCCAACACATCGTATAACATCATCATAGGCAGGCCAACGCTGAACCAACTTGGAGCGGTGGTGTCTACCCCGCACTTGACGATGAAACTCCCAAGGGGCAATGGGCAGAGTCTCTATTAAGGCAAATCAGAGGACAACTCGGCAATGCTACGCCGAAAGCCTAAAAGCATCATCACCAGTAGCGGAGCAACGCCGAGACGAACCTACCACCGTAGCTCACACAACTCAGGCCAAAATTACCAACCTGGATCCTAGATTGGAGTCCCACAACAACTGCCCAAGCCCTATCGATGAATTGGCCGATCTCTAAATCAGCAAACTCCCCGGCCAATGCACCAAAATAAGTCAACAACTAAGCCCGGAGCTGGGACAACAACTGATAGCCGAGATCTCCAAGAACGTCGATCTATTTGCATGGTCCAGCGCCGACATGCCAGGTATAGACCCTAACCTTATCTGTCACAGGTTGACAATCTACAAAGAGGCCAAACCAGTGGCTTAGAGAAAACGAAAGGTCGGTGGAGAAAGATGAGAAGCCATCATAACCGAGACACAAAAGCTAATAAGAGCAGGTTTCATTTGAGAAGTCAGATACACTACATGGCTGGCCAATGTAGTTCTCATAAAAAAAAACTCGGGAAAGTGGCGTATGTGCGTCGACTATACCGACTTGAACAAAGCTTGCCTCAAAGACGCGTACCCCTTACCAAGCATTGATAGGTTGGTCGACGAAGCTTCTGGTCACGCCCTCCTTCTAGCGCCAAATGAAGAGGGTCAAAGCGGACAATACCTTAGATGCGGTGACCCTAACGATGACAACGGACTTACGGTAGGAAAAAGTATAATATCTTTTTAACTTTTAAGAATTTTTTTTTATAAATCTAAATAACAAAGGACTATCGAGTGCAATATAAAAAAATAACACAAAAGATATAAGTGTAATTTATTCTAAGGGTGTAAGCGGCAATGGGTAACCCGCGAAACCGAACTGATCCAAATCAATCTAAGGAGTTTGGATTGAATTTTTTTAGTATTTGGATCAGACCCAACTCAATTCGATCAAAATTCAGTACTGTATGGGCCAGGTAATGAGTTTTGTATTTTCAACTCGTTATCAACCCAACACAACCTGATCATATATAATAATAATAATAATAATAATAATAATAATAATAATAATGTTTGAATGATCATTTACTTAGGACAATACTAATTGTTACTCTTATTTAGTAATAAGTTTTGTGTTTTAGCTTAATAACATTATAACAATATATTATATTTATTTTAAATTTTATTTTATATTTTTGAGTTGATAATAATGTGACAGATTAACAAATTTATTTTAGAATTTAATTTGTATAATTTTTTTCTTTATAGATTGATAACATAGAATTTGCAATAATGTATTAAATAATTTACATTTATTTTAAAATATTTAAATTATTATAAAAAATAAATAAATATAATTATGTCGACCTGATTAATCCAATCTAATACAATCCATTTGTGATTGAGTTGGGTTAAATTGAATTTTTAAAAAAGATCGTAGGAATCCAATCCATTAAGTTTTGATTAAATTAAATAATAAATTTATCTAAATTCGACTCATTCTAACTCACTTACACATGTAATTTATTCATATTATTGTTGGTATTATTATTAACAGCAGTGTTGAGAGGACCAAACGTTGTAAGAATTCACAGAACCTCAGCACCAGTGAGAGCGACGGAGAAATTATAAAAGCAAGATTTTTACTTTCACGTGGAAGAATGTCAAGTCAGTCAATATGACCAACTTACTTTATTATTTTTTTTTCTTTTGGCCCCACATGCTCAGTCTAAATATTTATATTTTAAAAAATATGTTTATTTTTTTAGAAACGTATATTATTTATGTTTCAAATCTTTATGATATTATTTATATTTAAATTATAATTATTAATTTTACTTATTTACTTTTTAAAAATAAAATATTATCAATATTTAAATTTCTGTATTTGTATAGAGTTCATAAACAAAATTTTGGTAAAATCCTCCTTAAAAAATATCTCTTTAAAAAAAAACTCCAAGAAATCGCTTAATTATAAGATTAGTGTTATTTTAATTTAGTTTCCAAGGAACAGGAACGATGAGTAGTGAGTTTTTTTGTCACAAAATATTTAAGGAAGGAGATGAGGTCCCAGTTTAAATCCGGAAAAATCTCTAAACTCAAAGAGTGTTGTGTGAGTTTGAACAAATTTCTCAACATCATTGAAAAAAAAATCAAAGAAACAATAAATTAAACTTCACATTTAAGTTAAAATAAATATATATCGTAATCTTTTCAGAAATTACTTCAGCTAACTTTTCCATAAATTAATTAATACCTACATATAAATTTATTTTTAATTTATAGAGTTAATATTTTTACCTTATCAAGTCTTAGTAACAGAGGAGATAGAAGTTCTAAGCAGTTAATCTAAACTGAGCTATGCAAGAGTAATGAGTTGTTTTTTTTCAATATCGTGACTGTTTATTAGCAAGTAAATTTAGTTTGCATATGTGATGACAGTATATATGAAATATTCCGATAGATACCATGCATTTTGTGTAAGAATTAATCTAGTCAGGAATCTTAGAATCGAAGTATTATATAAAGCAAGTGCTACAATGTTCGTTCTGCCTTTTTATTTGATACTGTCTACCAACCCAACTTAGATTCAAGTGTCTTTCTTTCTTTCATCCATCGTCCACTTTTACATTTTCCAAATGCTCAGTAACTGTGCTATCAGGTAGCCTTCTTTTGGAAAACAACAATGAGGTGAGAGAAAATGTAAAGATATGATGCATGGTACATACATTCTTATACATCAGTACTGTTGTTTTTGTTCTTTCTATTTCCTTTTTCTCCTCATTCAGTTTCCCAAACAAAATCTTCACCCAGAAACTATAGATAATTTTCATCAAATTTAGTTAACAGAGTAAGTCCAAGCACACCAAGTTCATTCCATATATATGTTAAGGATACCATCGTGCAGTAATATTGGTTTGCACAATATATAATCATTCGATTGTCAGTAGCATCTATCATAAATATGAGATCATGATCATCTGTATTTATTGATGGACAATATGTGGGTAAGGTACAAGAGATCGACATATACGAGATTGGATGGGGGAAGAGAGGAACAATTAATCCAATGTCTAATTAATTGTGCACATCTATATTCAAATTTTGTAGATCTGGAAGTTGGGAACTCCCGATTTATCAGGTGCATAATGCATATAAAACAATATATGGTACTGATGAGAAGGTAATTAGAAGGCAAATCAAAACCAACACATAATTGCATATGCAATAGAAAAAAATGAACAACAGCAACAAAAGAAACAGTTTTAGGTGACTAGAGAAAATATTTATAAAAAAAAAAAAAAAAAAAGAGTCTCCAACCCCAAGGTAGTACAGGACGCACCAAATTAAAACGTGTTACTGTCACACTTGAATCCTGAGCATATGCCAACATCCTTAGCCTCTCCTCTTCTTTTTGAAAAAACCAAGCAACATATGCCGATTCAAATGTAATCCCCAGATTTAGCCAACACAGGAATACAACAATCCAGCCATCCAGAAAACATGCATATATTTATGTGAAAAACTAGAAGAGAGGGAAAAAAGAAAAACAATGAAATAGTATCCACATGTTCAAACATATAAAGTATAAATACAAGATGCAAGGATGAATTGAAGAAACCTTTTCTAGGGTTCTATGAACCGGATGAGATTCTTCTGGAGGAACTGAAAGCAAATTAGGGTTTCTATATGCTTCCATTCAACAGGTGAAGCAGCCACATGATCTGTTCTTACCATTATTTGAAGGTAAACTCAGATCATGCTGGCAGCTTCAACTGCTGCAGGTACACGACAAGAGAGTATACAAATATATGACCCTTCTCTCCACAGACCGTAGCTTCTTGTAATCTTCATCTGTACTTGTTTAATTCTTAGGCTATGTATGTATATATATACACATCTTGTGTCGTTCTTCCTCGTCTCTTCAAGGTTGAGGATTGCGTACAGATAAGAGAGATGGGAAGATGGTAAACATATAGCTAGCAAAAGCATAATAAAAGTATGTGGTTCCTTTTTAGTTTTTTGTCTCCCTCTTTTCTACGTTTTTTTATTAGGCTACATTTTGGACCATCTCTGGTTCTAAGTAGCTAGTTTTGCTGTTTCCAGTGTCATCTCTTTTGTCTTATATGATGAAGATAGATCACTGTCTTCCCTTCTTTTTCTTAATTTGTATTTTTGTGCAAGTCTATACAGTTTTTCTTTTCCTTTTTTTAGGGTGTGGGGGTAGTATATATTAAAATATATATATTCATTCATTCATGCATACATATATACTGCTTAATACATACCGTATATATGTAACCATTTTCAATTTTTGGAACCGCATAAGAGATACTAATTTATGAATGATGCGTAAATTAATCCCTTTAGAAACATAAAATTCTACCATATTCTCTCTTTTGGGGAAGGATAATGTATTTTGTGGAAAATTTTGCATGAAAGGGATATATATATTTATATATAACACAAACAAGTTTGATAGGGGAAATTTAAAGAGTAGTGCCCAATAATCACGGGTTGTGATTATTGTGAATTGGCCATTTTGGTAACTTCACAGATGAATTAGGGAGGGGAAACCACAAAGCATTAGAAGATGATGAAAAGTAAAACAAGGAGAAAGATGTGTGCATGTGGTCCTATTGTTGAAACGAATTTAATAATATCACGCTCACGCCACCACATGCAGACACTCTAGCGAGAGTTTCTATATATTTCAACGGGCTTTAAAAACATTGGTTGGGTGACCCTTTCATGCTTTTTCTTTCCCTCTCTTTTTCTCATATATTGTTTGTGTTGTATGTAAGGTAGGCATCAGTTAGAATGAACCAAATAGAGTATGGGAACAATGAGTATATAGGGGACCATTGTGCAATTTGCACGGATCCGATTGATCCGTGTAACAAGGTTCACACAAAAAGGAAAATAAGCAAACCAACAGAGGCAACATTTTCAAAACTTTTCTCTCTCTGCAAGGGATAAAGTGCTACACATCATTAAACTCAATGTTTGTGATTAAATAGCCTTTAGCTCCCTACACGATAGAATAATTTC